CTGACCTTGCAGTTAGCAGCCCAACCCACGAACCCACTCCTCAGTGGCCCAGCTGTGCTGGCCACAACCAGAAGTCCTCATTTCTACAAAGCCTCTCCCCCAAGGCTTTTGCAGGTGTGGCTCCTTTTATTTGGAGGAAAGAGGGATTGCGGTTGGTCAGGATAAGCAGCAAGTTGAAAGTGGATTCTAGATGGACCTGCTCTTGAAATTTCTGGCCACTGTCATTGCTGAGAAGGAGCCCTGGCGGCGTAGTGGTTACAAGGTGGGTTGCTAACCTCAAGGTCAGCAGTTCAAAACCACCAGCCACTCCTTGGGCATAAGACAAGGCTTTCTTCTCTCATTAAGAGTTACAGTCTGGGAAACTCACAGGGGCAATTCTACCCTGTTGGCATTGATTCCATGGCAGTGATCCCCACCACCCTCTCCCCCTTTGGTAACAGCCAGTAAGTACCAGGAGTCAGCAAGAGACAAGTGAGGCCTCAAGTTTGGTTTTGGTTTGATCGTTGCTGACAAGGACCCTTGGTTAAGGCGTGGGCTGTTACCCACAAAGTCAGGGTTCCAAACTCATCAGGAAGACGGAAAAAGCTGTGTGCTCCCTCGAAGGATTTATAGTTTCAGAGATCCTAAGGAGCAGGATCTGCTCTGTCTTGAGTTGGAATCCACTGGACAGCAGCTATGACACCAACGAGCCTTCCTCCTAAATCGTTAGACCAGCGGTTCTCAGCTTGTGGGTCACGACCCCTTTGGGGGCCGAACAACACTTTCACAGGGGTCCCTGATTCATAACTGTAGCAAAATGACAGTGATGAAGTAGCAACGAAAATAATGTTATGGTTGGGGGTCACCACCACATGAGAAGTGCCCAGGCTTGGGCCAGACTGACAGCAGGGTTTGAATCCTGGCTTCTCCATTTCCTGGCTCTGTGAATGCAGGTGAGTGGCTTCCTTTTCCTGAGTCTATGTCCTCTGGAAAGAGAGGACACAAGGACCTTTCCTGAAAACTGTGGGAAGTAGTGAGTAGGTTAACCCTTCCAGAGCTTGAGGCTAAATTCAGACAAATGCTAGTCTTTTACTTTGCAACCCATAAATACTTTTCCGGAGGCTTACATATGTATGCATTACATATTTATAAATTGTGTAATTTAAAAAAGAGAGAGAGAGAGAGACTTGAATCTTACTTCAGGGGTTTTGATGAAACAAGTAATCACCCTCGTTTGTGTCTTCTGCCAATCTGTATCTTCAGAGGCTGGGCCGGGTCGGCGGATGAGATTCATCTACAGTTCTCTGCCCTGTGAGAGCCCATTGAACCAGCGCTGGCCGCTCTGATGGGACAAGGGCTCTTTTTGCAGTGTTGTAGAAGTTGCCAATGTGCGGTATTGGTGGGGGGAAGCAAGGCACCCCGAGGGACCAAAGTGAGACCTGTGCTTGGTCTGAGCGTGCCAGCATCAAATTGTGGAGGAGCATAGGGACATGTCGGAGTCCAGGGGTCGTGCCAATAGTTAAAGCACTCAGCTCCCAAAAGGTTCGTGGTTCAGATCGACCCCGAGGTACCTGGTGATCCATTTCTGAAAGGTCATAGCCCTTGAGAGCCCCAGGGAGCCCACTTCTTGGAAGCACAGGGGCCACTCTGAGTTGGAATCAGTTGGCAACAAAAGTTTGACTGTTGTTTTTAAAGGCCTTATAGTTTCAGCTGATGATACGTGCTGTTCAGAGCAGATGGGTAGCTGACCAACGGCAGGGGCTCACCACCTGTCCTCGCTCTCAAGCAGGGCAGAGGGAGGCCCTGGATGACGACGTCCGTGCTGGCAAGTGGGAGCCAGGGGAATTCAGCGTCTAAGAAGGCAACGGGTCTGTCGTTCCAACCCACCAGCTGCTCTGCGGGAGACGAATGTGGCAGGCTGCTTCTTACAGCCCTGGAACGGGCATAGGACAGGTCTGCTTTCTCCTGAAGGCCCGTTCTCGGAGTCAGCATGGACTGGGTTGCGGTGCGTTTGGCCAGTTGGGCAGACTTCTACCATTGGCAAAGATGGGTTGTACGTCCATAGTCTGTGCAGCCTGATTTTAAATTCTGGATATCCGGCTCTCTTCTGGGCTAGCAGGAGTGATGAGTGGGCACAGTGTGCCAGCTGTCTGTTAGCTTCTCTTCTCCGGAGCTGCCATCACTGGTGTGTTCACCTGTGTTTGAACAGCCCGTGCTGCAGAAGGTTTGATAGTCCTCTCACCTTGTCCCTTGGCCTGAAGGAGGCTGGCAAGGGTGCCGTGCACGCATTTTCAACGTATCCTGCACACAATGAAGCTCGGGAAGGATTTTAGGCAGGGAAGCCTGTGATCAAAAGCTACAAAAAAGTGATTATATGTGGTGCAGGCGTAGGGAAGGGTGGTTGTGGGTGTCCCAGAGTTGGATTGGGTCTCATGGAAGGAGCGCGGCTTGAATAAGCCCCTGAACGATGGGCATAGGTACAAAGGAGGGAGGGAGGGAGGGAGGGAGGGAGGTGGTGAGCACGAGGGATGGAGGACCTTCTCATGGGATGTCCTGCCCAGGATGCAGGCTTTTATAGTGATGCGACAGGACATGGGATCAATGTGGCCCATTTGTTTAGACATTCTAGCCTTTCCGAAACCCTGATGGAATTGTGGGTATGTGTTGGGTTGATCACTGCAAGGTCATCATTTCAAGCCCACCAGTTGCTCTGAAGGAGCAAGACAAGGCTTTAGAGCAGTGTTTCTCCACCTTCCTAATGCCGAGGCCCTTTAATACGGGTCTTCATGTTGTGGTGACCTCCCGCCCCGCCAACCATAAAATTATTTTCGTTGCTACTTCATAAGTGTAATTTTGCTACTGCTTTGAATCGGGCGACCCCTGTGAAAGGGTTGTTCGACCCTCAAAGGGGTTGCAACCCACAAGTTGAGAACCACTGCTTTATAGCCTCAGAAACCCATGAGGGAAGTTCTCTTTTGTCCTATGAGTTGGTGTTAACTCGATGGTCGTGGTTTCTTCCTTTTCCCTTTTATTTAATAGTGTTTGGAAGGGCCTGGGTCGCACACGCAATTGGTGGTAGCCCTGCTAACCTCCAAGTTGGCGGTTCAAACCCACTCAAGATCTCAGTAGAAGAAAGGCCGGTTGTCTGCTTCTGTAAGCAGTCCAGCTAAGAGCCCCCTAAGGGGCAGTTTTGCTTTGTCACACCCAGGACCACCAGGCACCTGGCTGACTGGAGAGCAGCTCAGAACAACTACATGGGGGAATGAGCTTCACATCCAGTAGCCAGGGAGGCTTCTTGTCATTTAGTTTTAAAAAGAGGAAACACAGGGAATCGAGGACGGATGATCTCTTCAGGACCAGTGGTGAGAGTGGCCATACTGGGAGGGTGGAGGGAAGGTGGGGTAGAAAGGGGGAACTGATTACAAGGATCTACATATAACCTCCTCCCTGGGGGATTGGACAACAGAAAGTGGGTGAAGGGAGATGTCGGGCAGTGTAAGATATAACAAAATAATAATAATTTATAAATTATCAAGGGTTCATGAGGGAGGGGGGAGCAGGGAGGGAGGGGGAAATGAGCTGATACGAAGGGCTCAAGTAGAAAGCAAATGTTTTGAGAATGATGATGGCAACAAACGTACAAATGTGCTTGACACAATGGATGGATGTATGGATTGTGATAAGAGTTGTATGAGCCCCCAATAAAATGGTTAAAAAATAAAAGCTAAACTTAGAAGCCTAAAAAAAAAAAAGAGGAGCTTTTGTGTGTATGTGTGTGTGTGTTGAAGGGAGACAGTAAAATGACAATCCTGAGGTAGGTGACTGTGAAACTAACTTGGCATTGGGGAGAAAGAAGAGACTTTCTACTCTATAAAGACAGGACAGGGCAGTTCTGCTCTGTCCTGTGGGGTGGCTGTGAATCGGAATCCTCTAGTGGCGAGTGAGCAAGGACACTTGGCACCAGGCATTGGACCACGTGTGTTACATGGGCCATCTGAGTTCCCCATCATCCCAACAACTTGGTGAAGCCGTTATCACCCCCAGGCTGCAGACAAGGAAACTTGGGCTAAGAAAGGTTCAAAGAACTTGCACATGGTTTTGAGATTAATACAGAGCAGAGCCAGGAGATCGGATCCTGAAGCCCAAGCTCTTTACCCCTGTGCTGCTGAAACAAGCTCAGTGCAGAATCTTCCAACAGAACAGAAAGGAGAAGTCTGCACAGTTATTGAACTCCTCCCTCCCCGGAAAGGGCACTTTGCACCAACACCCTTCTGGTCATCTTTCTGTGTATATGGACAGCAGCAGGTGTGCCTGTGTCCTAAGGAGCCCTGGTAGTGCAATGCTTAAGTACTCAGTTGCTAAACAAAAAGAACTCACCCAGTGTCTCCTCGGGGGAAGAGACCTGGTCATCTGTTCTCACAAAGATTACTGTATTTTTATGTGATATCATATATATAGCATGGTGATCTTATAAGATTACTTCATGGGAGGAGGTCACAGGTGGTGTAGTGATTACTTGTTGGGCTGCGACCTTCAAGGTCAGCAGTTCGATAGCACTAGCTACTCTGAGGGAGAAAGATGAGGCTTTCTACTTCCATAAAGAGTTACAGTCTTGGAAACTCAGAGGGGCAGTTCTACCCTGCCTGATTGGAATCGACTTGATGGTGGTTGAGTTTTGGCTCTTTGGTTGAAGCCATGGCTGGAACTGCTTGGCGGTGTCTGATGTGAGCTGGTATTGATGCTTTTGCAGGCTATCAATGGCCTGAGGGCCAGAGGCTCCCCACTCCAGCTCTGTAAGGACAGTTCTACTCTGTCCTCCAGGATTTGATATAGATTGCAATGGACTTCATGACACCCGGTGACAACAACTCGATGAATCCTGGAGTTTTTTACACAGTCACTGTGTTTGACCTTCCTCTCTACCAGGTCACTGCAGGCTCTTGAGCAAGAACTGCTTCACGGAAACTTTTTCCAGTGTTTTGTTAACTGAGCCCAGTGCTTTTCTCACTCTCTCTTCGCAGCATGCCCTGGATGCTGACAACGCGGGAGTCAGTCCCATCGGCAACTCTTCCAACAACAGCAGCCACTGGGACCTTGGAAGTGCCTTTTTCTTTGCCGGAACCGTCATCACCACCATAGGTATCCCTTTGCTTGCGAATACCTTTTCCTCGGCAGGCCATCTTGGTGCTTGGTCCATGCTTGGTCCTCCTAGAATCCGTGGCCCTTTGAGCCTCAGAGGAGAATTACGAGACATTGTCAGATGAATGTGGTCCTTGTGGCTTTTGACAAAAGGCCAAGCCGAATGAGGAATCTCTTAGAATGAAAGGCTGGGGAGCACCTTGTTGGAAAGGACCCGATACAAAGGTTAGAGGGGAAAAAGAGGCGTTAGTCACTTGAACTCAGCCTGAGCTCTGCTAAACTCAAATTTCTTTCTGAAACTTGCACCTTTTTTGAAAGGTGGATGTGTAAGAAGGAAAGTGCATTACAAAGTTTTTGTTTTTTAATGAAGAGCGACAGCCCCTCTCCCCCTTGAACAACCATGTTTTACCTCTTGTGACCGATGGTTTTCATACCCAGCCCCTTTCACTCTGCGGGATGAGCGCGTGACTTCCGGCCACCCTGCACCCCTTCTCTCTTTCCGTCCCCCTAGCTTCCTACTCGAGTTTGATGGGCTCAGATGTGAACATGATTTTGACAAAGTCACTGCTTGTTTTTGTGTTTTTTTTTCACAACTGATCCACGCAGTGAATGGTGACTGCTTCTTCCTTGCACACACTGCCTCGGATTTCTTTGGTTTTGTGTCTGCTGTCTGGTGTCTTGGTGCAGGTTCTTAGAGGGGATGGTTGCCTCTTTGGTCACATTTTGTATGTGGTTTGGGACAGGACTTTCCAGTGAGCCGGCTTCGTCTGTTGGTAAAGTCCTGGTGTGCTCTACATTCTCCTATGCCGGCGTTATATTTATGTGGGGCCAGCCTCCTTCTTGCTTCTCGACCCTGGGTGAGCTGGCTGTTCCTGGGCCAATTTGTTGATCTGCTCGATGCTTCCGTGAGTCCTGGGAGAGGAGAGCAGGGAGAGGCTGGGCCAACCTTCCAGGCAGTACATCCTGAGATGCTCTCCTCTGCTGCCAAAGAGACCAAGTGTTTTCTGCAGATAGGCTCTATCTCTGTTATTCTGTGATTAGTTCTTTGTCTTCCGTTTTTTGGAGCAGAGGAAGTCCTGCGGGGCCTCTGTGGTTAACCCTCTTTACCCTGTATTCCACGCTTGGTGTGAACAAGGATGGCCCTCATCTTTATCGCTGGATTGATTTGTTGGCCCTTTGGAAGACTTGTCACTGGTGGTCTCTCTCCTGACTCTCTGGGCTTCTTTCTTGTCTCCAGATGGCTTACCCTCAACCTTAGCTTCTCTAGAAGGTTCTTCCACATAGGCAGGGATCTGCAGATTCTATCCTTTCTCCAGTTCTGCTGAAAATGAGCCTAGGGCTTTCTGCTCCGATAAAACCAACCAACCAACTCAAAAATCAAACCCAACTGAGCCAAACCCACTGCCTTCAGTTGATTCCAATAAGTAATAACCCTGTAGAGGGTTTCCAAGGTGTTGTAAATCTTTATGGGAGCAGACAGCCTAATTTTTCTCCCACAGGGCAGCTGGTAGATTTGATCTGCTGTCTTTGTGGTGAGCAGTCGAACGCTTATCTGGTAGAATCACTTCCATTGAGTCAATTCTGACCCACAGTGACCCTATAGGACAATACCTGCCCCTGTGGGTTTCCAATACTATGATTAAAAATTTTTAAAAAAAATTTTTGGCTGTTATTCTTTACTAGAGTTGAAAGCCATGTCTTTTGCCTGCTGAGTGGCTGATGAGTTTTCTTTTTTTAATCATTTAATTACGGGCTCGTACAACTCTTATCACAATCCATACACACATCCATTGTGTCAAGCACATTAGTACATTCATTGCCTTCATCATTCTCAAAACATTTGCTCTCTACCTAAGCCCCTGGCATCAGCTCCTCATTTTTTCCCCTCCCTCCCTGCTCCCGCCTCCTTCATGAACACTTGATAATTTATAAATTATTATTTTGTCATATCTTGCCCTGTCCGGCATCTCCCTTCACCCACTTTCCTGTTGTCCACCCCCCAGGGAGGAGGTTATATGTAGATCCTTGTAATTGGTTCCCCCTTTCTACCCCACCCTCCCTCCACCCTC